GGCAGGTGGGGGGAGGAGCCAAACGGCCTAGGACAGACAGCTTTTAATCTGAAAGAGGGCAAAATATGTTCCCCACCTTCCGTCTAAATTGACATTTACTTAGATATCCCAAGTCTACCTGTTTCACAGACACAAAATAGGGGAAGACATAGCCTGAAACTTTCTGTTAGGGAGAAAGATGACAGCCCAGAGCTGCTGTTAGTTTTATCTTAAAGAAGCCATCGAAATAGGGTCACTTCTGTGGAGTATAGATCACGGGGGTCAGGGAAGTTAAGTGGCATTAAGACTAGTCACCGTGAGATGCCCTTAAGGTGGGGGGCTGGGACTAAGCAGTAGAGTTCATGAAATCGTGTGGGTGCCTGTTCTGTGGATCTCAGACAAAGGAAGGTCTCAGGCACAGTCCTCCTGGCTGTCCTGCCCAGAATGGCCCTTTCGAGGGGCGGGAGTCCGGCTCCCTGACAGCAGGAAAGGCGGTCCTCCAGTAACAGGGAGGGTTCACGGGAGACAGTGGACCCGGGACTTATGTGAGTGTCCACAGCGCCCCAGGTGTAACCCACAGACTGCCTGTCTCTTCCTCGTGCAGACGCCTCCTCTTGGCCTGTCTTTCTTAGCCGCCCTCTACCTGCTCTGGTTCACGAGTGCTCCTCTGGGTTGGCATTCTCTGGCCCAGCTCCTTTTCTTTTCCACTTTAACCTTCTGTTCATTTACATCTTTCCTGCCTCTTCCTGGACTTGTGCAGCAGCTGCCTAAACTTTCCCATACTCCTGTCATCTTCTCCCCGCAATGGTCTTCTGTTAGCTCTGTGTAAACCTGGGGTCTCCAGCTGATGCCCCCAGGGGCCAGGCAGGCAATAAACATGAATGAAACGACTTAGTTGTAGCGTGGAAAGGAGAAGGTTCCACGCCTTGTCTGGCGGTATCCAGCTTCATAAAACACTGCAGATGAAGCAGCACCCTTGAGGGTCCCGGCCTTGCACACGCTGTCAGTTTGAACTTCCGCTCTACACTATTGTTTGCCTTGTCAGTCTCGTCCCTCAACACCTTTCCGCTGCAGGGTAAAGGCTGTACCACACGGCTTGGTATTCAGACGTGGTCATCGGGCCCACTCTGCCTTCCCAGCATCTTCTCCTCCTGCTCCTCTGTTCTCAGCCTGGACTGGAGTCAGATGGGCCTCCTCGCAGCCTCCCAGGTGCACCTGGCGTGCTGTCACCTCTGACCTTTACCTCTGTGTCGCTCTGCTCTGGGATGTGAACTCCTTTCATACATTTACTTCCTCCCAACGCTCAAGATCTAGGTCGTGCCTTTTCAGCATGTAGAGGGCCAAGCGCAGTGCCGGCTCATGATCAGTTCTCAGTAAATGCTAACGGCTGCCATCGTTCCCTGATCACTGAAGTCCATAATGTTTATTCTCTTCACACTACGCCTCTGAACTTCAGACGAGGGAGTGGCTTCAGCACCATTCCTCCTAAAGTCCTAGCTGTAACCTTTTCTTTTTTTAAAAAAATATATTTTATTGATTTTTTACAGAGAGGAAGGGAGAGGGATAGAGAGCTAGAAACATCAATGAGAGAGAAACATCGATCAGCTGCCTCCTGCACACTCCCTACTGGGGATGTGCCCGCAACCAAGGTACATATCCCTGACCGGAGTCGAACCTGGGATCCTTGAGTCCGCAGGCCGACACTCTATCCACTGAGCCAAACCGGTTAGGGCTGTAACCTTTTCTTGTTGTTATAGGACACACATGGGCACGCATGTGCATGCGCACACACACACACACACACACACACACACAGTCTGCACAAAATTGCAGAAGGGTAGGATCCTGTTGAATACTTTTTTGTGTTCTCAACAAAGCATACTTTACAGACTAAATAACAGCCACCTCTACACAGTAAGACTTTTTTTTTTTAATCTTTTACTGAGTTCACTTTGAAAAATAAATAACTTGAAGGGGAAAAGCTATTTGTCTGTATGTAAATTGCTTATCTATGTATGTATTCATTTACTCAGCGTATTTATTGAGAACCTACTACCTCTGCCTCGTCCTCTTCCCCTTTGGTAACCACCATACTATTTTCTCCTTCAATGAGTTTTTGTTTGTTCTGTTCATTCCTTTGTTGCTTTCTGTGTATAACCCACAGATGAGCTAAATAATATGATTCTTGGCCTTTTATGTCACAAAAGAAATACTGCCATCTGTGACAACATAGATGCATCTTGAGAGTGTGTATCATGCTGAGACAGAATAAGCAAAGTTCTAATAGTCATTAAAAGTAAGATCTTCTTCACATGAGGAAGATGGCAGGAGGTTTCATCTTGAGTTTGGTTCAAACTCTGCCGGTCGCTGCTGCAACAAGTTGAAGCATGTCATCTAGGCTCTCTAAGCTTGGCTTCTTCACCTGCAGAGGGGGCTGCTAATGCTGTATTAGAGTCATAAGGATTAAATGTGACATATTATATAAATGTCTTTATATGACATATAGTTTCACTAAATTATAGCTTAATTTTTATTTTTATTGATTTTACAGAGAAAGGTAGAGGGAGAGAGAGATAGAAACATCAATGATGAGAGAGAATCATTAATCAACTGCCTCCTGCATGCCTCACACTGGGGATAGAACCGGCAACCTGGGCATGTGCCCTTGACCGGAATCGAACCTAGGACCCTCCAGTCTGCAGGCCAACGCTCTATCCACTGAGCCAAACCAGCTAAGGCTACAGCCCATTTCTAAAGGAGCAGGCAGAGGACTCACGGGTTCCTTCAGTGCAGAATAATAGTGGTAAACTTCACATGTGCTCCTGCAGTGAGATTACTGGCACTGAGGCTGTTCGTAATGGGCTAATATGACTTAGGAATGTTAATTCTTGAGTTAGTCGGAAGCCAAACATGTGTTCGTGTTCAAAATTTACCAGCCTTGAGGTGCTGGATTGAGGAAAGCCTAGCTCATTAAAAGGATATTATTGGGTATCTACTTTCTTTAATTTTGTGAAGAGGCAGTTCTAACACCAAGACCTCTGAATGTTTACTTTGTCACAATAGGATTTTCTGTACCCATAGAATTGCAAGATAATTTTGTTTTTACAACCTTTCATTCTTAAAATGCTATTTAAGATGATCATTGATGTTTGAGGGGAAGTGCAGAAGGACTATTTATTAGCAAATGTAGAGGACGAGCCGGAAGGCACTGGGGATGAACCGGCAACCTGGGCATGTGCCCTTGACCGGAATCGAACCTAGGACCCTCCAGTCTGCAGGCCAACGCTCTATCCACTGAGCCAAACCAGCTAAGGCTACAGCCCATTTCTAAAGGAGCAGGCAGAGGACTCACGGGTTCCTTCAGTGCAGAATAATAGTGGTAAACTTCACATGTGCTCCTGCAGTGAGATTACTGGCACTGAGGCTGTTCGTAATGGGCTAATATGACTTAGGAATGTTAATTCTTGAGTTAGTCGGAAGCCAAACATGTGTTCGTGTTCAAAATTTACCAGCCTTGAGGTGCTGGATTGAGGAAAGCCTAGCTCATTAAAAGGATATTATTGGGTATCTACTTTCTTTAATTTTGTGAAGAGGCAGTTCTAACACCAAGACCTCTGAATGTTTACTTTGTCACAATAGGATTTTCTGTACCCATAGAATTGCAAGATAATTTTGTTTTTACAACCTTTCATTCTTAAAATGCTATTTAAGATGATCATTGATGTTTGAGGGGAAGTGCAGAAGGACTATTTATTAGCAAATGTAGAGGACGAGCCGGAAGGATGTGTTGTTGTTGTTGAATTCTACATTTATTCATAGAGTACCACCAGTGACAATTACATTAATTACAGCTTGCACATGCTTTTAGTTCAGAATGGAAGGAAGGGCTTGGCATATTTTGTTTGGGTGGCAAAGAAATTTGGTGATTCAAGTGGAAATCCAACTTTAGTTTATAAAGGTTTATTTTGTTGAGATTTAAAAATTCTTAACCTTTTATATCAACATTATGGTAAAAGGGCGCATAGAAATGTTTGTGGGTTTTTTCAGAGGAGTTTGGAGGAGACACATTTCCATGTGCCCTAAATCAACGGACATCCTGCTTACAGAAATGCTGGGCAGTTCTTTGAGTGACACCCCAAACTAATATTGAGACCTTGTTTTTGGCTTCCTTGCTACCAGAGAATTAAGGAAAAATCTACCAAAGTCGTGTCTTAAACCGTGACTGCCTTGGTGTGGGAAGTAGGAATTTCTGTCCTTGGAGTAGATTCTGAGACCTCGGCCTAAAACTCTTGCCAGAACAGCAAGGCCCACACCTACCTGTCTCCTAAGAGTTTCCTCCTTGGCTTGCATCTCCCTGTTCTCCATCCATAGACTAAAGGGCCAGAGGGCAGTTAGGAATGACACAGAGAGAACCTGGAGAAGATCCCTGAGCAACACTGAAAGGCAGTAATGGAAAAGAGCACACTGTGCTTCCGACAACGGGCTTTGGTGGGAAAGAAAATGTAGGTGCCCGGCCGGCGTGGCTCAGTGGTTAAGCATCGACCTATGAACCAGAAGGACACAGTTCTATTCCCAGTCAGGGCACATGCCCGGATTGAGGGCTTGATCCCCAGTGTGGGGTGTGCAGGAGGCAGCCGATCAATGATTCTCTCTCATCATTGATGTTTCTCTTTCTCTCCCTCTCCCTTCCTCTCTGACATCAATAAAAGTATATTTGAAAAATAAGAAGAAAATGTTGGGTGTATTAGATTTTTAATCAAGAATTAAGGGTTGATGGGGGAGAGTGTCAGAATATTGGCCCATCCCACCCAACTGTCATTTCTCCTATTTGACCTCTTCCCTCTTTAAAAAAGTTGCCAATGTTCATTGCCACCCGTAGTGAATGAGGTGGGGCCACTTGGGCATGACATTCAGAGTCAGACGACCCAGAGGAGGCCCAGCAGGACCAAGCACTGCTGCACTGGGACTGGCTGGTCCAACTTGGAAGCACATCCTGTCTTTCCAGATGATTTCCACAGTCCTGCTCATTCTTTCGACATTCCTTCATTCATATTCACACTGTCTTTTGCTTTATGGCGTGAATTTACGGATTCAAAGTTCCTATCACAAAGGTATACAGTTAGCATAATGCCACTCCAGGCTCATCTCGGATTGTTTATTCTGAGTAATTAAGCAACTCGAAAACGCCTGTGGAATATGCAGTCACTGTTGGTAAATGTACGGCTTTATTTTATGGAGAAAATAGTCTATGAAAACCGCATTCTTTTTACATTTACTAAAAGCAGAAATGTCATCGGTAGTAGTGATGCACTCATTGAGTTAATTTCCGTTCTCCTCTTGCTCTGAAGGAAGCCATTAGGACTTGCTTCCCTCTCCATTTCCGCGGGAGCTGGTCAAACCACTTTTCTGTGTTGTTTGCAGGGGCTCTTAGCGTTGCTTTCTAAAGCGAGATTGGAAAGGCTGCCTCTTGCATATTTGTACCTACCATGTTAATGTCACCAAAGTCCTTTGGTTTTCTCACAAAGACGTCATCTGAAATACATATTTCCTGTAAAAAGAATAAATTGCTAACATCGATTTTGTTGTTGTTGAGATAATGGATTCTGTAGGCCCGTGTTCAGGAAAGCCCCGTAGAGGACTGTAATGAGTTGTTTGGCCCTAAAAGCCTTGAGTTATAAAAAGAACTGATAGAATCTGTAATATGTATGCATAGCACATTATCGGGCTGGAACTGGAGCTCATATTAGTGTGTTATGCCATCGATCAGCTAAATGACATGACAAGCTTGCAATCCTCACTCACAGTGATCTGATGCCAGCCAGCCGCTGACCTCTGCAGTGTTAGGCCCACAATGCCCACCTATGCCATCACCCACGGCTGCCCAGGCAGGCAGCTGGCAGGCATCAGATCACTCTGTGAACCAGCCTGCTGCGTAGGGGACCTTGACAAGGCCTCCTGCTTCCCGGCCTGGCTCCACCAAGGATCCTTCCTCATCCTCCCTGTACTTCAGAGCCTTGTCACTCCTAAATGGCAAAGGTTTTGGTTTTTGTCTTTGTTCCCAAGTAAGGGGTTGGGTGGAGGCAGGAGAGAGGAATCCCAAGTGCAAACCAGAGGAAACAGGGAACTGGGCTGGTGGGAATACTAGACAGCAGCCTTTTTTGAAGGGTCAAATAGTAACTATTTTAGACTTTGGGGTCTGTTGCAACTATTTAGTTCTGCCATGGTGGCCCAGAAGCAGCTGTAGGTGAACGGGCTGTGTCCCAATTGACTTTCATTGCATTCAAATAGGCGGAGGGCCTTTGGCTGACTGGCCATGGTTTGCCATCCTGTGCACACTACCAAGTAACAAGCCCCGAGTAGCTGGCCCTGAGGGAGTCTGGAAGAGAATCTTTGGAATACACTGAGCATCGAGCATTCCTTAGCAAATGCGTCATTTCCCAGAGGAAAGGAGGGCAGCACTCACTGTGATGTTGAAAGTGGGTATCGAATACATCTTAGGTCTCACGTGTTTATTTCTTGGAAATTACCGACGAACGAAGAAAGCAGTGGTAGATTCTCAGCCTCTGTTATAAAGCAAAACCCAGCACCAATGACTAAGCAGCGAGGGCTCGTAAGTGACCATTTTCCAGGGTACTGAGCAGGGAGGGGAAGCTCCGAGGCCAGGGGAAGGGGCCTGGGCTGGCCTCAGCCCGCTGCCCCCGTGCTGCCTGGCCCTGAGCCAGTTCGCAGCTTCAGAGAAGCCGAGTCAGACATGCTTGGCCGTCATCGGCGTAGAAGCGGACATAGTCTGTTCGATTTTGACGATGAACTGTGATTTTAAATCCATAATGGAAATTCAGATGCCCATTGAATTGAAGCAGCCTTGTTACCGTCACATGTGAAATGCCATGGATGTTTCCCACCCGGATTTAACAAGTGGTTCCTGTCTCCCCTGCCAGGTTGTTCCTGCTGCAGGACTGGTCTCCATACTAAAGAAGAGGAACGACGCCGTGGGCGACCACCCTGCCCAGATGCAGCAGAAGCCGCCCAAGCGGAGGGTGCGGTTCCAGGAGATAGACGATAACCTGGACCAGGGTGGGTACCGCTCAGCCCTGTGCCTGACACAGGGCCCTCCCAGTGTTTGCTGAGAGTGAGTCAGTGCCCGATGGAAGGTGACAGGATTTGTAAAAGGAAATGTGGGCGCAGTTGTTTTATCTTCTAGAGCAGCGGTTCTCAACCTGTGGGTCGCGACCTCTTTGGCGGTCGAACGACCCTTTCACGGGGGTCGCCTAAGACCATCCTGCATATCAGATATTTACATGACGATTCATAACAGTAGCAACATTACAGTTATGAAGTAGCAACGAAAATAATTTTATGGTTGGGTCACAACATGAGGAACTGTATTTAAAGGGCCAGAAGGCGGAGAACCACTGCTCTTATCTCTGATTTCAGAAGATACAGTGATGAAGTAGCAACGAAAATAATTTTATGGTTGGGTCACAACATGAGGAACTGTATTTAAAGGGCCAGAAGGTTGAAAACCACTGTAGAAAGAAGCAGAGAACTGAGCTGTCATCGGTTCTTAAATGATTCTTAGGCATTGTGTTTGCTCAAATCAGTGAACAGGTTGCAAAATTCAACTCCTGGCCTCCCGACCCCACAGGCAGTGCTTGGTGTTCGGAGCTCATTTCCATTTCCTTGTTTAGGGTTTCGTTGGGTTTTAGTGAGTCTGCTATTTCTGTCCGCTTTTCAGCAGCAGTTAATTGACCTATCTCATATGTGTGGGAAACGTTTCTGGATTACAAGTTTATTCTCTTCGGTGATTTCTTGACTCCATAGAAGGAAGTGTCTCTCAAGGGCAGCAGTTTAACACTGTGCTATTGTTGAACTTTCCTCCTGGGCCACTAGTGACTAGGTAGTTGCTAGGGTTCCCTAAGGCAAATAAGAATGAGTGGAAAGATAGCCAAAAACCTGTGTGTATGCTTCTCCTGTTTATAAAATAACAGTGTGAGCATGTAGATATACTTGCTAAGTATGGCATAAAGTGATGGAGGTTTCTAGATTTCTACAATTAGGAGCCTTGGAAATAATCTGTTCCCGCCCCTCATTTTAGCTCTGCACCTTGCTCGTAACTCTCACTTTCTCCTCCAGATAAAATGCGTAATTCTCGTTTGCTCTCATGGGCCCTGAATGGTCCCGCTCACCGGAGGAACCCTGGGTTCAGAGCTCACAGTCCCGTTTCACTTCGTGGCCCTCTCATCTTAGACCAGCAGCCACCTGTGCCTCTACACAGTGTTTCAACACATAGATAAAGCAAATACATGTTTATAGGTAAACTATTTATATGACTAGGAAGGAAAATATGGAAAGATACATAGATTATTAACATAGATAAGGTGATAGTAGGGATTCATGCCAAAAGAAGAAAAGATGGTAAAAATACTGACCTGACACAACACACACACACAAGACTGATATGATCTGTATTTGTATAAAATGTATTTGCATATCTGCTCTCTATATAAAACCCTAATATGCAAATCAACCAAATGGTGGAACAACCCATTGCTATGACATGCACTGGCCACCAGGGGGCAGAGACTCAACACAGGAGCTGCCCCCAAGAAAAGATGGTAAAAATACTGACCTGACACAACACACACACACAAGACTGATATGATCTGTATTTGTATAAAATGTATTTGCATATCTGCTCTCTATATAAAACCCTAATATGCAAATCAACCAAATGGTGGAACAACCCATTGCTATGACATGCACTGGCCACCAGGGGGCAGAGACTCAACACAGGAGCTGCCCCCCCCTGGCCCCCTGGTCACCCTGCCAGTCACCCTGCAGATCAGCCCTGATCGCCAGCCAGGCCTAGAGACCCTACCCTTGCATGAATTTCATGCACCAGGCCTCTAGTATACATATAAACTATTAAATCTATTTAACTACTAAAATCTATTAAACTATAAATTTGTAAATCACAGAACAATATGCTAACATAATCCTATTTATGTAAAAATCCTGAAACCCTCTGTGTTTGATCTGGAAGGATACACACCAAAATCACCAGTGTTTGCCTCTGGGACAGGGGTGTGATTGGGTAAGAGACACTCAGGTGTTTGGATTTTCATAGGAATAATATATTCACATATGACTGTAAAATCCTCTCAAAGTAATATGCTAATGATGAGAAAACTCAGACAGTAATGAAGAGTATAAGTTCTTTTTTCATTGGTTTTCCCCGAATATTGAAAGAAGTTTCTTATTATCCTTTTGAGACACATTCTGTATATGTATCTGCAAATGTGAATACAGTATAGACACACTGACACACACATCTTTTTTTTTAACACAAGTGGGTTCATTATGTACTATTATGTCACTTAATTTATCGATCTTGGACATCTTCCTATGAAAGAACATATTAATTTACTTCATACAATTGCATAGTATTCCATTATATGAATGTCCCACACTTTAACTGCTCCATTGTAAATGAAACGATTAAGTTCTCCTCAACTTTTTGTTGTTACAAGCATGCCTGTAAAGATGATACAGTGTGCTGTGCGGATTTGTAGGCTGATTCCTGGAAGTGATGGGCTGGGCTAAATGACCTGAGGCAGCCTGTTCTACACCTGTTGTCCCAGCATTGTCTTCAGTTAACATTCCTTTTCACTCTCAAAAGTGTCCCAATATGGCCCTAGCTGGTTTAGCTCAGTGGATAGAGCGTCAGCCTGTGGACTGAAGGGTCCCGAGTTTGATTCTGGTCAAGGGGGTTGTGGGCTCGATTCCCAGTAGGGGGCATGCAGGAGGCAGTCAATCAGTGATACTCTCTCATCAATGATACACCATCATGCTGATTATAAAACTTTTTAGTCCTTTCTAAATATTTTTAAATTTTCCTTTAATAATGAATGATCATGAAGATGGCCTATATTTCCTCAATATGGAAAGACTGACATGGGCATTTTCATTAAAATAAAACCTGCCAGCCTGGCCTGTGTGGCTCAGTGGTTGAGCATGGACCCAGGAACCAGGAGCTCACTGTTTGATTTCCGGTCAGTGGGGGCGTGCAGGAGGTAGCCAATCAATGATTCTCTCTCATCATTGATGTTTCTGTCTCTCTCCCTTGTCCCTCTCTGAAATCAATAAAAATATTTTTTAAACTGCCCGAGTTATTAAGCAAAATACAAAGAAATCACTGTATTAGCTAGAACTTCACGATTCCACTAAACAATAAGAATGAAATTGAGTATTAAGATGCGAGAGTGATCCCACCCAAAGTCGTTTTTTATTGTTTAATGCCAAATTGACGTTGCTTTAAGCTGGTGCCATGATGCGAGCGCCAAGATACTGTAATAGTGAGGCTATAATGTGTATCTAAACAATGCTGTGAGCACATCAAAGAAGCACTGCCTTTCGCTTTCCTTCTTTGTTCATGGGAGTGATCACATTCATGGTGCAGGGGAGCTGCTTTCACACTGAGCGTGGACAGGCACAGGAGCGTGTCCTGTATGGCAACTAATCAGCAGGGCCCTGTAGAGCGGAGGCGCCTGGCTTGGCGTCCGTGCCTCTGTCCCCAGAGGACTATTAGGAACACCTGATTCTCTCTCTCTCTTTTTTTTAAATATATTTTATTGATTTTTACAGAGAGGAAGGGAGAGGGATAGAGAGTTAGAAACATCGATGAGAGAGAAACACCGATCAGCTGCCTCCTGCACACTCCCCACTGGGGATGTTCCCGCAACCAAGGTACATGCCCTTGACCAGAATCGAACCTGGGACCCTTGAGTCCGCAGGCCAACGCTCTATCCCAGCCGTGGGCAAACTACGGCCCGCAGGCCGGATCCGGCCCGTTTGAAATGAATAAAACTAAAAAAAAAAAAAAGACCGTACCCTTTTATGTAATGATGTTTACTTTGAATTTATATTAGTTCACACAAACACTCCATCCATGCTTTTGTTCCGGCCCTCCGGTCCAGTTTAAGAACCCATTGTGGCCCTGAGCCAAACCAACAGGTTAGGGCAACACCTGGTTCTCTTAATCCGAGAAGGCCGTGGGCGCGCGGATTTCCCGTTTGTGCCACTGAACCTCCCTCTGTTCTGTTTGCAGATGAAGCTGGGAGTGGCTCCTGCATTTTGCTGGTCTTGCTGTGCGTCGCCACGGTTCTGCTCAGCGTGGGAGGAACCGCCCTGTACTGCGCTTTCGGGGACCTGGACTCGCCCGTGTGCACGGACTTCGCCGACAACGTGGACTTCTACTACACGAAGCTGCTGCGGGGCGTGGCGGAGCTGAAGCACTGGGTCCGCCTCTCCTAGCGCAGCAGCGGCCGCCCGGGCAGCGAGGGCCCGAGGGGAACTCACTCTCTAGGCGGCTCTGATTTGGGGGGTTGTGTACCGCGCCCCGTGAGGAGCCGTGGACGTCAGCAACTGCAGCTTCAGCAGGCGGCCCAGGGGACCGGCACCATCGACCTGCGCGTCGTGGGGCAGGAATGGCCTGGCCGTCCCCCTCGCGGCCGCCTCCGCGGGCTGCTGCGCTGCGTTAAACGGGAGTGTTGCAGCCACGCGTCCTTAGCTTCATGTCAAGCTGACACTTAATGACACTTGGTTTCCACTAGTTGGTCCAAAGACGTCGCTTCCAGCCATCACGCAATAAGTGTGGGTGTGATCGAAAGGAGGTACCCATGTGTCCATGTCTTTTTTCAGTTGGCCTGGAGCGCTGTGTAAGCAAGGCTTTGCGCGTCATTGACACGTTCTGGTCTCCGTTTGTGGAATGGTTGGGTGCACATGCGTGTTTGCGTGGGTGCGTGCATGTGTTTCAGTTAATCATGAGCAAATACCCAACGCAAAATAACAAAAAAATGACCTTTATTCTTTTAACTTGACTATAGATGTGCAGGCACAAATCTTTAGAGCGGGTTTCACTGTGGAACCGAGGAGATGTAGAGGTCTTGGCCCTGGAAGGAGGAGCTATGACAGATCTGCAACAATTAACTTGATTAACAAGCCAGGAATTAACTACAGACCTGGAGGTAAAATTCGAGAGCTCCCTCTGAGTCTCAGGCAGGCCGTTTCAGCATGGATTCGAGGCCTCGTGGAGTATGATGAATGCTGGACTCAATTCAGCAAACGCTTACTGAGCACCTATTAGGTTCTGAGTCTAAGAACTGAAATACAAAGATAATGAGGTACCAGTTCCTGCCCTAGAGGTTTTCATTCTGGCCTTGTGTTAAAAAGATACTTTGGCAAATGAAATTAAGTCACCGTACAACTCAGTGTTAGCAGGTCATGCGTTCAGAGGTTTGAACGTGCATTCATGTCACAGGCTCGAGTTAGTCCTTTTATGGGGTCATTAAGCAGAAAGTCAATCATGTCTTAAATAAGCAAATGTCTGAATTTTGTTTAAATCTGTCAGTTACGTGGCATTTCCTTTTCTGAGGTCTATCATTTATGAAGCCTTGCTGTGGCTTTTTATAACATAGGCAGCATTTTAAAAGAAACAGAACATGAATTATAGTTTTTTAGCGAGTGATCATTACTTCATGTTTTTCTGTCAGAATCACGTGAAAGAAAAAGGGAGAAGTTACTTCCTAGTTGTTACTGGCTGGTACAGTACCCCTTCATGTTCTGCTTATTTATTTAGATTATGTGAATTTTGAAGGGCTTTTTATATGTGATGAAAGTGTGTTTTTGAGCATGCATTCGGTTTTCCCAATGTAGATATTTAATTACTGTGTACTTAGTATTTTGATTTCCTATAAATTCAGTGTCTCATGTTTTTAGGCTTGTTTCTTTTAAAATTGATGTTTGATTTTCACTCATAATACTGTTTGACTTGTCTCATGTCACCATAAACTAATATTTTCAAGGATTATAGATCAAAGATATTTATTTAGAAGTATACAAGATACTGAAATTTAGATTCCTTATACTTAAGGCTGATTTTATTAGAAGGTTATTTTAATGTTCTATTATAAATTTTAAGAATTTGTATTCAAACTGTATGTAAAATATGTAAATGTCAACGGTACTATGTTAGATGGTTCTATAAAAGACATTCACCAAGTCTGCCGTGAGGGGTGCCCCCGTCATGGACAACCCTCTTCCGTTTCACCCTCTTGGTCCCTAGTTATGAGAATTTGATGAGTCTGATTTCTGACGGTTTTATGTGAAGATAAATCAAAACTTCCTCCTGCTCTCCCCTTTGAGTCGCTATGGAAGTCCTACGTACCCCGAGTGTCTCATTTGCCTGGAGGCGCCAGGGCCTCTACTCCACACCGAAGGTTTCCTGGAAACCTTGACGCTGAGCAGAGAGGACTGAGGTGACACCTGGGTCCTCGGGGGTCCAGTTGAGTCTCAGAGGAACCAGGTGTGTCCTCACGCTTCCCGGGGACGGGGAGGCGAGCTCAGGAGCTCAGTGTGGTGATGTCTTGACTTAAAATGGGCCTGAAAATCGCGACGGGAACAAGTAGGGCACCGCTTAACACGTGATAGTCATTCATTGCATGAAGTGGAGTAATTCCATCTGGTGGTGAAAGCATTGTGATCGCACACGTGAAAACTCACCCAGCTTTACCCTGATGTGATCTTTCCTGCCATGTGAAAGTTCGGACAACTGCTTGTAACTACTCTTCCTTCAGAACTGTATTGGAGGGTGACCGGTCAAGCTTGTAATTTAAAATCTTCACCAACAAAGTGTCTCAGAGCGTTTCTTTGGGTCCGGGGGTGCTGGGAAACACTGCTTCAAAGTAAAATCCTTCAGAAGTTGGCCTGGCCCCACAGGAGATAGCGGTCTGTTTCGGGAAGTCCAGTAGGTCCCCTCCTAAGGGCTCCTGCTCTCAAAGGCCCTCCCGGTCTGCCTGGCATGGTAGCTCTAGAAATCCATTCCTTTTCAAATAAATAAGTAATCCATTCCTTTAGATTTAAAAATCGGAATTTGCTCTAGAAATTCATTCCTTTTCAAATAAATAAATAAGTAATCCATTCCTTTAGATTTAAAAATCCGAGTCCTCAGGAGGTTTCCTTTACGCTGTGAATGTGGGTATTACGCGGAGAGGACTTGAAGGGAGGATATGGGGGAAAGGGGTAGGAACCGAGAGGTAAAGAGAGAAGGTGGGACAGAACAAGCCCTTTAGCTATTAATCTGTTCGGCTAAAGCTGGCTTTGTGGCATTTACTCCCAGTCCATTGGGAGACTGAATTTTTGTCTTCCCATTCACATGACATAGGTAATTATATTTGGGTTCATTTCTATTGGCTCAGTTAATGTTAACCCACCCTTGTGTCCTTCTTTCTGCAGCGTGATAGAGTTTTCACGTTTATTCCTCTGATGCTTAATCAGTGAGCACACAGTCCCTCAAGTCCAGGTCTTGTAACTCCAAAATCCAGTACTGGGCCCATTGTATCATGTTGCCTCATCCTCAGAAAGAGTTAGTGACCTGGGGTCTGTCTGGTACTGTCTGCTATTCTAACAACTTCAAAGAGAATTATTGAGCTTCATGTCCTAGCTACCGAGCTGAAAACTTCCCTAAGGAATTCTAGTAAAAGGTAGACATCCCTGAGTTCAGGCACCGAGTTCAAGCCCATGGGCATCTCTCCCCCTGGTTCTGAAGAGCGTTACCCCCTGACTCACAGGTTCACGAGGCAAGAAACCCATCGTATGTTGAAGATGCATTTGACACTGCACTCCAGCAGCGATTTTCAACCTTGTTCACCTCACGGCACATAAAGTAATTACTGAAATTTGGCAGCACACCAAAAAGCATATTTCTTGATGATCTGACACAAAAAAAGGTATAATTTTTATTGATTTACAAAAATACATATAATAATAGTAATTACCCTTTTTGCTCCAAAGTGGCTTTTTTTAAAACTGGTGCCTCTACTTGTATAGAAGGATTTCTGGTACCAAGAATTAACCAGTCAGACGCAGCCTTATTATGTGATGTGTCCAATAAGATTCAACTCTTATTAAATGATCTATATATTTATGGTTCAATGCAAGGCATTCACACCTGGACAGCTATTGTTGTGCTGGCTGCTGTCATTTTTTTGTTTGACAATCTAATGGAACAGAGTCGGTGCCCTGCCTGAAGAGTGAGGCATTGCATGTGTTAAAAACTGGCTCCTGGTTGCAAAGCGCTGCACTGCATCAGCTGTTTACCCTGGGGATCGTGTGGCCAACGAGAGCTGTGGCTGGCCGCCCCTGCCCAGCACCAGGAGGGAGTATCATAGGGCATATCACTAACCCGAGAAAAGATCAAATTCAAAATCTGAAGTACAGTTTCTCCTGAACGGGTGTCACTTTCACACCATCATAAAGTCAAAAACATCTAAATCTAACCATCGTAAGTCGGAGACCATCTGTATATAATACCAAAGAATTACAAGAATGCTACCAAAGCTAATAAATGAATTCAGCGAGGTTGTAGGGTACAAGATCAACACACAAAAATCAGTTGTGTTTCTAAATAGCAACTGACATTCTGGAAGGGAAATTGAGGCAATTTCATTCACAACAGAATCTCAAAGAATAAATTTAACCAAGGAGAAGACTTATACACTAAAAGCTACAAAAATTGCTGCGAAAAATTAAAGTATATCTAAATGAATGGAAATCTAGCCTGTGTTTATGGATAGGAAGACAATACACAGTGGGGCAAAAGTAGGTTAACAGTCATGAGTACTCAAAACACAAGACTTTGTTCTTATATTACTTTTCATTAGTTATTGTCTTATTTTCCATATGAACAATTGTAAACCTACTCTTGTCTCGCCCTGTATTGTTAAAATGTCAGTACTCCTCAGAGACCTCTAGATTCAAGCAGTCCCTATCAAAATCCCAACACCCTTTTTTTACTTTCTACAGAAATGAAAAAACTGATTATCAAATTTATATGGCATTGCAAGGGGACCCAAATAGCCAAAATAGACTTGAAAAAAAAAAAAAGCCATATATGGAGGACTTACATTTCTCCATCTCATACCTTACTACAAAGCTACAGTAATCAAAACAGTATGACACTCACATAAAGATAGACATATAGACCAATGGAATAGAATTGAGAGTCCACAGTTAAGCTCATTTGTTTTTGGCTGGTTGATTTTTGATGATGGTGCAAAAGAATGAAATTGGACCCCTGCCTCATACCATATACAAAAATTAATGCAAAATGGATGGATAAGCCTGTCTGCTGTGGCCTACTGGTTGAACATCGACCTATGAATCAGGAGGCCAGGGTTTAATTCCCAGTCAGGGCACATGCCTGGGTTGCAGGCTGGATCCCCAGTAGGGGGCATGCAGGAAGCAGCCAATCAATGATTCTCTCTCAGCATTGATGTTTCTATCTCTCCCACTCCCTTCCTCTCTGAAATCAATAAAAATATTTTTTAAATGGATGAATGAGGGCCCATAAGACATATTCAAAAATAGACCACATATTGGGTCACAAACAAAGTCTCCCCAAATTCAAGAAGATTGAAATCATACCAAGCATCTTCTCAGATCACGATGGCATAATATTAGAAATGAACTACAAAAAAAACAACCCAAAATACTCAAACACTTGGAAGCTGAATAGCATGTTATTAAATATTGATTGGGTTACCAATGAGATCAAAGAAGAAATTAAAAACATCCTGGAAACTAATGACAATGAAAACACAACAATCCAAAACCTATGGGACACAATGAAAGCAGTCCTGAGAGGGAAGTTTATAGCTCTACAGGCCTACCTCAACAAACAAGAAAAAATGGTAGTAAATCATCTAAATCTACAGCTCAAAGAATTAGAAAGAGAGCAGAAAACATAAGGGTAAATCTTCATGACTATGCATTTGGCATCTTATCTTCTTAGATAGGACACCAAAAACACAAGCAACAAAAGAAAAAAATAGGTAAATTGGGTTTCATCAAAACTTTTTAAAAATTTGGGTATCAAAGGAAACTATCAGGAAAATGAAAAGACAACTAATAGAATGGGAGAAAAATTTTGCAAATTAAACATCTGATAAGGCTTTAATATCCAGAATATGTAAAGAACTTCTAGAATTCAGTAAAAAGAAAAACAACCCAATGCAAACGTGTGCAGAGGACTTGAATACACATATCTCCAAGAAGATACGCCAAGTTTTGAAAATATAATATGGTGGTGATAGTTGCACAACATTATGAATGTACTTAATGCCGCTGAATTGTACACTTAAAAATGGTTAAAGTGGCAACTTTTATGTTACACATATTTCAGCACATACATCTACATACATGCAAAAAACTGACACTCCCCAGTGTTGTTGAGGCTGGGAACAACCAAATTCTCATGGGCAACTAGTGAGACTGAAATGATACCAGCACTTTGGGAAACAGCTTGTCCGTTTCTTATAAATGTAACTGCCCACCTGCTGCGTGACCCAGCAATCCCCCACCTCGCTTTATCCATAGCAGCCAGAAAATGGAAACACCCCACTCCCTTCCTTATCACCATAGAAGCCTATTTAACAGTAAAAAAGAACAAACTATGGATACACAAGTGACATAAATGAATCTCAAAGCAATCATTCTCAGTGAAAGAAACCAGGAAGAAAGAGTACATAATGTATGTTTCCATTTATAAGAAACGTTAGAAAATGTCAATCCATTCATAGTGACAGAAACAGATCCGTGGTCCCCTGAGCAGCAAAGGATGGTGGGAAGATGGTCATGGGCGACTTTTGGGATTGATGGAAATGTATCTTGAATGCAGTCATATTTCATGGGTAGACACATCTTTCAAAATGCATTGAGTTGGACACTTTATATAAATGCAACTGTATACATAAATGATACCTCAATAAAATTGTTGTTTTTAAAAAGTAAGTTCAGCCCTGGCTGGTTTGGCTCAGTGGATAGAGCATTGGCCTGCGAACTGAAAGGTCCCAGGTTTGATTCCGGTCAAGGGCACATGCCCGGGTTGTGGGCTCGATCCCCAGTGGGGGCCTTACAGGAGGCAGCCGATCCATGATTCTCTCTCATCATGGATGTTTCTATCTCTCTCTCCCTCTTCCTTCCTCTCTGAAACCAATGAAAATTAATTAATTAATTAATTAAAATCTAATAAAAGAGAAACATGCAAATTGACTGTGCCTTCACTATGCCCCCAAGTCACGCCCACCAGCCAATTAGAGTGACTATATGCAAATTAACCCAACCAAGATGGCGGCTGGCAGCCACGGAACTGGAGCAAGCAGGAGGCTTGGTTGCCCCGGCGATGGAGGAAGCCAAGCTTCCCGCCTCCTGCCCTGGGCTGTGGCCTCCACTAAAGGCAACAAAGTTTCAATTATAGAAGATAAATAAATCCCAGATACCTGCTTCTAGCCAGCCTCCACTTACTGGCCTGTACTATTTGATTAATTTTTTTTAATATTTCTTTCTTCCTTTTTATTTTATACATAACCTTTTTAAATTTCACATTTTCAAATTAGCCTTTAAACCTTCTTTCTATGTCCTTTAGAAATGCATAACTATGCTTCAGACTTTCTATTTTAAACAGGCTTTTCCCAGTTTTCTACAGTTGAGGTTTTGTGCCACCTCTGACATGGGCATGGTCACACAGGCCTGCAAGACAGTATACAGGCT